ACTGCACCACAGGAGTCTGAGATGTTGCAATTCTTGCAGAGACTGGCAACAATGATATACATAGGAGGTTGAACAGATGTGAACTGTCAATGGCCAAGATTCTGTCAGGATTGCTGATGAGCATAAGGAAGATCAGGGATTGCAAAAGTCACTTCAACGTGCTTCAGAGTCCTTGGATGAAATTCGGTGAGCTTTATGAGTAACTCATGAATGAAAGTTGACTGTAATTCCTTGTGTAGTGCGCATTGTATGCTCGCGACGACAAAGCCCAGCACTACCTAAAGGACGCGCAAGATGACGAAGCTGCATCATAGGTAGAAAGCTACGTCAAAATCAAAAAGCTGCATTGGCTGTTCAGCCGCTATAGGAGCTTATAGAGTAGTAGAAATCCAATTTTGATCGGCTATCATCGAAACGACCGGGCCGTACAAAGCCGCAACCCTTGCTTTTCAAACTCATCGACTGCTACGGCCTACAACCCAAGTGTTACAGACGCCAGGGGCGTTTTCCGAGGAAAATACTTTGAACTTAAGGCTGCAGCGAGGCGAACGCTGGAGCGTGGCCAACTGGGTAGCGGAACTCATTCTAGTGGAGAATCGACCTCATCATCTAAATCCGGTAGCTCGTCCAAGTCCAGCAGCTCATTGCCATCCTCAGGTTCAATTCCAAGCTCCAAACGACATGTATACAGAATGCGCACGTTTTCAGCGACGAATTCAGTGCTTCTTATACACTAAAATCTCGCTTGATTTATAGAGGACAATTTGTTCAGTGTCCGGACTCAGTACATCCAGCAAATGCTCTAAAGCAGAAATATCCAGTTCAACTTCTGACCGTCATTTTACTTCCGCTGATATGCTCGTCCAGTTGCCGGCGCTATACTCGTGGCTGTCTCCTGTAAAACGTTTTGGGCCGCTACCTTCCTTGATTTCGTGAACGAAAACATGGTAGCCCGAGTGCCAATGAAATTTCAACGAAGAAAAGTGATTATCAACCATTAGAGGGGCACGTCCATCCAGAAGGCATGATATACACTACATACAGGGGTGGAATGACAAGACAAATTACAATCACTGCGACGCCGATGGTTAAGCCGAGCAAAGAATATCTTCATGTTTCATGATGATTAGTGGAGGCTTAGGCTGTTATTTTATGCACGTAACTTGTTTCCTTTGCATGTATGTACTTCTATTCTTTGACTGCAATAAGTCCCTGCGTTGTACTGTTGGTCCTAGTCGGCTTGCCTGCCTGTCGGCCCCTGGAACATTTTACAGTCTCTTTCGTTCGGGCTGTTCAAACGAGGTGCTGCAAATTCATCAAGTAACATATCCATCAAGGAGCCCCTTGACCATGCAAAAGACTGGCAAAGGGGAGAATGACTTCATGGAAGCTGTGCATATCTGTACTAATAGAATTTTTGACATGAGCTTAACTCCTCGAAAGCCGTGAACTAATGTGGTATGTAGCCCTGGTGGATGATCTGCGCGCGCTATAGGTGACTACTCCTTGAGTGGTATCTGGCCGCGAGCCACAAAACTCAAGTGTTCACTGCTCAACGGTATCCGGCTTGTATCGTTCCCCGGATGGAGACATCCCCAAACCCGTACCGCGAAACTTTGCCTGATACATTTCGGGAGGATCGCTTTCTGCAGAGAGTACATAGGACAAGGGTTAGGTTAGGTGAGATTTATTGCCGGTTTAGGACCAAGTGCTGCTACGCCGAACAGCACAAGGCGGCGCAGTGCCGGGTATTCTAGGGTATTGGAGGCAGTGAGTCATAAGCGACCTGCCTGTGTCCCAACTGATCTGGTTTGATATCTTGAGATATTGTTGCTACGCTCTCGTAGCGAAACAGGGGAACGATTAGGAGGCAGAATTCAATGAATTGGGGAAGGTTCATTTCAGAGTATAAAGTGAGGCGTTTCTTTCTACAAAGGCTATAACCAGTTCCTCGATCCTCAATGATTCCCTCTTCTTCACGCATCTTCACCAGCATTCTCTACGCTGCTTCTCTCGTCGTCGCCGATAACCCTATAAGTCCAGGGTTTGCTTATGGCACGGAGAAAGTTCGGGGGTGAATCTTGGAGGTTGGCTTGTCCTTGAGGTATGCGTCACTTTTACTTTCAGTTCTCTCTGTTCCTCACGAAATTTCTCCGAAAAGCCGTGGATAACACCATCAATCTTCGATAACACTAGTGCGTTTAAAATAAACTCAATGCATGCGTCTGCCTTACATTCTTTGGTACCCGCAAGGCAATATTGACATCGTGGACGAGTTTACCTTTGGACAATTACAAAACCATAGCACGGCACTACCCGTTCTTCAAAACCATTGGGACACTTGGATAACTGAATCTGACTTTCAAGCTATAGCCGCTGCTGGGTACGTCCCTCATTATCATATGGTATTTCGTTAGTTTCTTAAACAAAAAACTTCCAGTCTCAACCACGTTCGTTTACCAATCGGATTTTGGGCATTCGATGTATCCGGTGGCGAACCCTATATTCAAGGTCAATTACCATACCTCCAGAAGGCTATCACATGGGCGGAGAACACTGGTTTGAAGCTTGTATGTCCGCGTTTTCACTTATACCTCGTCTCCTCACTGTTTTTTTTGCATCAACTCTTTAGATCATCGACTTGCATGGCGCTCCTGGAAGTCAAAACGGGTGCGCTTCACCAATCATCATACTGATTACCTCTGATTTTGTTACCAGATATGACAACTCAGGGCAACGTCTTCCATTCCCGTAAGAGTTACATACTTTTTTGTTTGGTTTCGCCTCAACGTTTCGTTAGCACCTGGCAGTCAAACCAGACAGACATCCAGCGAACTGATGCGATCATCAAGAGTACGCGACGACCCTTAGCTCGATCTTTCATGGTCTCATCATCCTCTTTGTTTACAGCCATCGCGAACATGGTAAAGGACAAACCAAACGTCGTGCCCATCATTGCTCCCTTGAATGAGTATGTGTTTCCATGTCTGAAATCTGATTTTTCGCCAACGTGAAGTAGACCCGCAGGATACGATGGTCAACAGATGCTCGACGTAGTCAAACAGGTCAGAAATATCATCTTAGATTTCGATGTGACGACTAAAAATGTTTAATTTCTCAGTATTGGTATGACAGCTATGGCAATATTCGGTTTGTCTCCCTTCTACTCGCTCCGATGATAAGTAAATTAAGATATATTCCATTTCCAGATACCCTTACAATAGTTCCCAAGAAAGTAACACGGTATGGTTCAACATTTGAATTACTGGGTGGCCTCTCAACTCCTCTAGGTCGTACTGCTACATGACGCGTTCCAACCTTTGAGTTTCTGGGAAGACTTCCAAACCCCTCCCAATTGGCAGGGTGTGGCTATGGACACTCATATCTATCAAATGTTCTCGCAGGGGCAAGTACCTCCCTTCTCGATTGACTCAAACTGGGACTAATAATAATAATTGATGCAGCTCGTAGCGCAAACTAACGCTCAGCATATCCAGACTGCTTGTGCCTACCAGAGCTCGCTAACGTTTGACTTGTGGCTCATTGTCGGCGAATGGACACCCGCTCAAACAGATTGCGCAAAGTATCTGAATGGAAGAGGCAACGGAGCACGATACGATGTAAGATGAACCTCCACATTTTCCGATCTCAGTTCCTAATCTTTGGTCTGATTAGGGAACTTTGGCCAACTCAACTTTCGTCGGTAGTTGCACCGGTCTTACGGGATCAGCTTCAACCTTTAGCTCGAATTTTAAGACTTTCCTAAGACAATACTGGGAAGCTCAGGTTATCGCCTTTGAGAGGGGTGGAAGCGGATGGATCCAGTGGACATGGAAAGCGGAGAATGCTGATGAATGGACCTACTCAGCTGGGTTGGCAAATGGATGGATCCCCCAAGACCCAACAGACCTGAAGTTCCCAGATATTTGCGACTAGCTTTTCCGGCCGATCATAACAAGACCTATTTATCACTCTGCATCTAACACAGTATCACTATACCCCCTTAATACCCACTTAACATCCTGTCACTACTCGGGTTTTTTTAGCATTTAAATTATTGGAAAATATGCGATTCTACCACTGACTGTTTACGCTTCAAATAAATAGTTTACTGCGTCCACCTTTAGCATAGCTCTACTTTGAGTAACCGCTTTCCTGGAAGCGTGCGAGGCTACGAGTAAGTACTGTCCCTCCTCTGCTCGACCAGCACCGTGACTGTAAGTAGGTAGGCTCTACAACTTCCCTCATGTTTCTTGCACCTCAAGCGTAGACAAGCCTGGCCAGCGTTCCCAAGCAGGATTAGAACAATATCGGAGATGATATTTTAGCAGCGCTGCAATCGTCAAAAGGAGTCACACATTCTAGTGCACAGGAGCCGAAGCACGGGTAAGAAGAGTGGGTGATGAGCACTCTAGGCTGTTCGGCGTTCCAGGCTGTCCCTAGACGCAAAAAAACCACTGTTCCAGCACTTCGCGCCCGATAGCCCCGTATTTGTTATTTCTGTTCCGGCTCTTTCCAGTCCTTTCCCAACTCTTATATTCCGGCAGCGACACGCTTGTTCACCAAACGGTGACTGGGGGGGCTGATCGCAAGCAGCAAAAAATTGAAGTCAAAACCGGTGCCTGATGATTCAGACGACGACTTGTTCTGACAACCATCGGAGCTATAGAAAAAAAAACAGAGTACATGCTTATAATGATCGAAGGGAGCCAATATAAATATTTACTCGAGTACCTACTATCCACGTATATGCGTACCACGCCCAGCCTACCCAAAGTACCCCGTACTCGTATTCATGCTCCCTATACCACATATGTCATAAGTGCTCATAAAGTTCATATTCAGGCGTCCCTCCTAAGGCGAATCAGCTATACTTATGCGGGGTTTCCTGTACCTGTAGGATCCTTACCTTCAAGTGACGGCCGATGCCTTCCTGCCAAGAAAGGTTTTAGTCTGCACCCCAAATCAAATAAGAGTCTCCGAATACCAAATTACTATAATCTGATATGGTGTAGTGGCTAACGTTATCACCTCCAGTGTACCTACATATTGCTAATTGTACAATATGAGTATTGCCGATAGCCCCGGGTTCGATTCCCCGTATCGGAATCTGTACTCCCTTCGCCCCATGTAGGCATTTGGGGAGCTTTTTTTTCTTTAATTACTATGTACGGCTCATGATCATGTCGGAGTCGGAGGCTTTTTCGATACAAATTTCAAATAACGACGCGGTGTTCAGCTTTGGCCTGTGGGATTAGTAAGTCACCTAGAGTCGGTTTCGGTAGTCTTCTCAATTCCTTAGAAAGTTTATAGCCATCTTTCGGCTGGTAGTTCTCATTGATGATACTTGGGTTTCAATAGCATGTCGAGTTGGAAAATCTCTTCGAAGCTTGGCGCAACAGCTTTCACTAGTCTGCGAACATTACTAACCAGTCATTTAACTAGCAAGCCCAAGAGCAACTCTGAGCAAGCCAGTTGAGTCGTAACACGCCATCGTATCTAAGCCATGGGCTCATGGGTTCATTGAACGGTCGTCATTGGATAAAATGACAATCACCTTGATTAGGAGCCTAGAAAGATAGCAGAATCAGCCTCCTGCTGATCATCATATTTGAGCGAAAAAGGCTGAATTGTGTCAGTGCTTGGGCAATCTTGCACTTGCACTAGTATGAGATAGTCTAGGTGAGTAAACCTGGTGCAGGGGCATGTGTACACCTACTGGCATTTCTGGTACTAGGATGTAGCTCCCGACTATCCAAAACCAAGATAGCAGATTGATTCTCCTCATCGGACATATGAGATTGAGAATCAGAGTCAACACCAAGTCCAATGGACACAACAATCAATGTTGATGCTATCCCCTGGGTAAAGATCAGGTGAGCGAGTGAGGTGAAGTTTATGCAACAAGCACCTACCATGATCTGGGTCAAAGCACAAGGAGTGAGGAAAAAGTTACCCAACAGAACTGGTGAGCCCACAGAGTCTACGATGAACCATAGAATCAAAGATATTGGGGTAAGAGCGCCAGATTGTAAACTAAGAAAAATAATGAAACCAAGCTCTCATTAGCGTAATAGCACATACATAGGGCCCAGAAGACTTCGAGAAACCCTTCTTTTGTTCTTGTCTCCAACTAATATCTTCTTCATCTTGTGATCTAACCACCAGACTCTACCAGCTAGTATGGGGTTGAATTCTCATATGCATAGATTGTTCACATTAACTTCAGCTCACCCATGAGTCCGGTTAAAACGAGGTTTTCTACAAGGGTTACAAGCACATACAGCTCATAGACTGACTTGGTGGTATCTGCTAGTTCAGATCCTGCATTATAATAAGGCTTTCCGGGGGGGTCTACGATCAATCTTGCGACCAATAAAACTATCCAAGTGACTTGTACAAAAAGGCAATGAATAATCAGATGGTAGCTTTGAACACGAGTAAAGCTCACTGAAGATTCCTATCAGGATAAACAAAGGAAAAATAATGACAGATTTTCTTGAGTTCCATAGACGGTAACAGCGATGTATCTATAATCAAGAGAACACTGTTAGCTGACCAGGACTAAATTGTAGAATATCTCACCATCATAGCATCTGAAAGCAAGCTGACACATTATTTTAGATATGCTGACGGGGAGACTGTATAAGTGTAACTTACCCAGCGATGAAAAATATGTAATAAGGACCGGGTTCAAGATTCAAGGTCGACTGCTTGATGATTACAGCCCCTCCTAGTAAAGGTATCCCAGTGAGAACAGGACCGTCACTGGATCTCCATGCCAAATCCAAGGATATGGAAATAGTTGCCAATGTGAAGAAGATCAAAGTTGCAATAACATATAGAATCCCCGGCATAACTCTTTTTCGAACTACATATACACTGAAGCTGAAAAGAACTAGAAAAATGCCTGATATTTTCATATTCTTAGTATTTGACCTGATACAAATATCATATGCCCTCACCGTATAGAAACAGCTCAACCTAAAGAGCAACGTGTGTTTAGTATTATTTGACCATGGTTCCAGGTTATGTGGGCTGTGTTCACGCACCGCAATTGGTACTATGAATGACCCAATCAATGTTTGTTGCAAAAGGGTGTATTCTTCTGAGGACATGATGAGTATGGAAGCGCAAGTGCTATGGGCACCAGTGGTCACTTTATAGCTAAGCCAGACAGATGATAGGAGTCATTGACAACTTCGATGCTTCACTTGTATCAAATCTGATTTGATTAATGTGTTATGATGCTCCTAAGCTGGTCTCCTATACGCAGACAGAACACGGCGATCAATAAAATGATGTGTGTAACTCCTAAGCAACTCCTAAGAACAAGGTTGCTCAGAAAATTTGCTATCTTTCGACTAGCAATTCTTATAGGCAAATCTTGGTTTCCAATTCATTCCTTCCAATGCATAGCGAGGTAGAAAATCTCTTTGAAGCTTGGCGCAACAGCCTTCACTAGTCTGCGAACGTTGCCCTCTAGTCGTTTAAGCTAGCCGAGTTCAAGGCTGTTCGATGTTCCAGGCTATCTGTCCTTGGGTGCAAAAAATTCACTGCTCCAGCCTCCAGCACTTCGCGCCCGATAGCTATGTATTTGTTCAGTGATGGAAATATTCCTGTTCCGGTTCTTTCCAGTCCTTCCCAAAATCTTATATTCAGGCAGCCCCGACACGCTTGTTCACCAAACGATGACTGGGGGAGCTGGCCGTAAGGCCAAGCTACAGTATTGTCTGTTTCGAAATTTTTGATCTTGAGCACGCCGGTCCTAGACTTCGAAAGAGGAACCGTCACTCCAAAAGTCCATTCCTACGAAGCCAGATGGCTGAGAACGAGACTTGGTCTGCAAACAATTATCAGAGCTATAGAAAAAAAACAGAGTACATGTTTATAATGATCGAAGGGAGCCAATACTCGAAAACCTACTACCCATGTATATGCGTACCGTGTCCAGCCCACCCAAAGTCACAGTACCCCATACACATATTCATGCTCTCCATACTCCCATAAGTATTCATCTTACTTGCAGGATCCTTATGTCCAAGTGACGGCCCATGCCTTCCTGGCAAGAAAGGTTTTAGTCTGTACCTCAAATCAAATAAGAATCCCCTAATAACCAAGTTCCTATAATCCGATACGGTGTAGTGGCTAACATTATCGCCTCTCATGCCTGAGAACCTGATGATAATTATGTATTGCGCGATAGCCCGGGGTTCGATTCCCCGTATCGGAATACAGATTGGTATTTCCATCCCCGTGAGCATTTGGGGAGCTTCCTTTTTTCATTACTATGTACGCTGTTACACTTTTTGGCCTCGCCACGGCTCATATCGAAGTCGGAGGTTTTCCCGATCTAAATTTCAAATAACTTGAAGTATGCGATTCGAATAAGTTCGAATACCTACTATCTATATGTGCGTACCGTGCCTGGCCCCTCCAAAGTACCCCGTACTCATACTTCTATTCAAGTGTCCCTCCCAAGGCGAATCAGCTACACTTACGTGGGGTACTCGAAACAAATAAGAATCCCCATATACAAAGTTCCTACAATCCGATATGGTGTAGTGGCTAACATTATCGCCTCTCATAATTTCTAAGTACCACCGTATGAGTATTGCGCGATAGCCCGGGGTTCGATTCCCCGTGTCGGAATGGAAGGTTTTAATCCACTTGGGGAGCTTCTTTTCTAAAATTACTGTGTAGTATGTATGCTGTTACACTTTTTGGCCTCGCCACGGCTCCTATATGCAATTCGAATACCTACTATCTGTATATGCGTACTACCGTGTCCAGCCCCTTCAAAGTACCCTGTACTCCCGATATCGCTTAAGTGCTCATATTCAAGTGTCCCTCCCAAGGCGAATCAGCTACACTTACATAGGGTTTCCTGTACCTGTAGGATCCTTATATCCAAGTGACGCCCGATGCCTTCCTGCCAAGAAAGGTTCTAGTCTGTACTCCAGATCAAATAAGAATCCCCTAATAACCAAGTTCCTATAATCCGATATGGTGTAGTGGCTAACATTATCGCCTCTCATAATCCATGTTGCCTGTGTCTGCGACTGTATGAGTATTGCGCGATAGCCCGGGTTCGATTCCCCGTGTCGGAATCGATGTTTCCTCCGTCTTCTGTAAGCATTTGAGGAGCTTTTTTTTTTCTCTAATTACTATTTACACTGTACACTTTTTGGTCTCGCCACGGCACATCGGAGTCGGCGTCGGAGGCTTTTTCGATACAAATTTCAAATGACTAATGCGATAATCAGCTTTGACCTGTGGGATTAGTAAGTTACCGAGAGTTACCGAGTCGCGATCGGTTAGTCGGGTTAGTCGGTTATAGTCATCTCACATTTGACTTGCGTTGAGCCATACAAGTTCGACTGTCAGTTCTCATTGACAATCCCTGGATTCCGATGCATGGCGAGTTGGAAAATCTCTTCGAAGCTTGGCGCAACAGCTTTCGTTAGCCTGCGAACATTAACCAGTCATTTAACTAGCAAGCCCAAGAGCAAGGTTGAGCTGTAGCACTGCCATTCTACTGAGTCTCAGTCATGGGTTCATGGGTTCATCTGAGTTCATTGAGTGATCGTTAAATGAAATGATAATCATCCTGATTAGGAACCTAGAAAGACAGCAGAAATCAGACCAATCTTAATCAATAGTACTTACTGTGGCGTAGATGGGATCCGAGTGCGTTTATCGATATCGATGAGATATCTGAACAACGCCGGTGATAGCAACTTGGTGATAGTACGGATGTAATAAAAACCAGGGTGTTCATAGCGTATCGCTACTATCGCAGCTAGCTTGTCTGACTTTGAGGCTTGCCAACACGTTGGTGCGGTGAGGATTCGGCCATGAGTCGTCCAAGCGTCGTCGCATGAATCTAACCGCCATGACCAAGCTATAATGGTGCTACAAGATTGAGCGATATCATTCGGAAACATGCGGTGGTAGTCTGGCGAGTGGCCACTAAACTGTTCACCTGACGTTCAGAGACTACAGCAAAGCCCAGAAAAGCCGCTGGTTTATAAGCAGGAGTTGATGTATCTACGGTTGCAGGCTAATTATAATCATAAGGCATAGCGTTATCACCGGGGTGAAGTTTGAGCTATTACACGCCCTAGGTTTGTGACGGGGCCTGGGAGGCTGTAATGGTGACGCCGAGTAGTACTGAGCACTCTATCCGAGGAACAAGGACCCCCGGTGATGGATAATTAACAAAAGCTGGGGATCAGTTCATTCAGTTCATTGGGGGACCCACAGCGACTGTTGAAAGGATAAAGAACAAGGAAGGTTGTTATAATTCGATATCCATCTGTGAACCTGGAGTAAATATAACGCATGAGGGTCCTGATGTCTAGAATTCTGGCTAGAAAGTCAACTCGCAAGGATGTGGCGCACTGGAGTGGCGCATGGAGTTAAACCGGGCCGAAGTTACCCGGCATACACGTGCTATCGTGCTTTTTCTTCTTCTTTTCATGCAACCATTTCGGGAGGACTACGCTGTTCTAGTCCCGTTTTAAGACCTACTTATTGTGTTCTTGGTTTAAAACCTGGTCTCTGCGCCACCTCTCTTCAACTTTCTCTTCATTTTCATCTACATCTCCTCGATGACAGAATACGACTATTCGCCGGAAGCAGCGGAGAGGTACCAGGCGAAACTGCATAGCATTGGGAGATGGGTACACGAAACTGAGCGATACGAGCCTGTGAATCCATTTGTGCTTTCGCCTGCGGCAGCCTCTGCGAGATTGCCAATGCCAGGAGGCTCAGACGGCTCTTCATCTCGGCGCCGTCCCCACAGGTCCTATACTGCTCCTGCAAGAGGTTCACAGAACTCGTCGGCTCAATATTCATCACATACTTATTACCAACCTCCAACCCAACAGAACTATCAATATCCTAGATATCCAAATACCGCGTATCCATATCCAGTTTCTCCTCAGGCTCCTGGTCCATATCCGCCGCCACAGCGGTCTCATACTTTTCCTATTCCTCCTCCTCCTCCGCCACCGCCGCCTTTACCTCGTCCTAAACGGTCTAACACTTCTGGAGGATACGGCTCTCCAGATATGATATACGACCCGCGTGTAGGAACTGCTTCACGCCACGTTGTGAGTGCATTCTTTCGTCCTTCTCGTTAATGTGGCGTTTACATCTCCCCAGTTTACAACATACCAGACTCAGCCGCAGTCACCTTCAAAGCGCTGGTTTGGTAAGCTCTTCAGCGGGCTGCGCAGCTCCAGTCCATCCCGTGCTCAAAGTCCGTCCAGTGTCACGGAAACACAAAGCCGACATAGCCGAAGCAAGAGTGGACATCACAGGCGCGACCGCGACTACGACCGACATGACTACGATCGACACGACCACTACGACCGCGAATCCAGCAGACACGATAGCGAACGGCGCTCAAAGTCCCATTCGCGTGCAAAGCCTTCGAAGCATCGTAAATCTCGCAGCAGCAGCCTATAGATCCCCCCTTCCCCGCAACTTCCCCGCAAAAAATTTTGCTTCCGTTAGGTTGATCGGAAGTACCGGATTTTAATTTATTTAATATCCGTTCTTTTTTCCTTTCCTCGCTGTGTTAATCCAACTGTAGCTTTACGTTTTTTCTCTCTTGTACTATCGCACATTAATACTCCCACCTACAGCGTTTTGGGGATCGGATACGGCACACATTTCTTTTTCTTTTTAGAGAAATCCTTATTTGCATTTTCCCTCTTCCACCGCATACCAATTATCTTTATCGCTCCCTCTCCGGACTACCCCTATCGCATTTTATATCTTTTTCATGAGCCTCTCGACGTATAACTAACTACCTACGATATTCGTTTTACATACCAGCCACGTCCATCACGCCTACCACGTACATACAACTTTTTTAATGATATTCATGTTTGAAACGTTTGTGCTTCCTGCTTACTTGCGGAGCAAGAACGATGAACGACGCTCGCCAGGTGGGAACCACAAAAAAAACAAAATACCAACGTCTATAGCTGCCCCAGAGAGGCTCGAACTCTCGACCTTCCGATGTAAGAAGCTTCAAACAAATGGAATAACAGTCGGACGCTGTAACCAACTCAGCCATGGGGCATTATAAGTGGGTGGCTAACGGTGTTTTTGTCGCTTCCAGGATCTTAGATACATACATCTACTTCAAAGGCTATTCATTTTACTTCAACTAACAACCTATCCTAAAGCTCAACTGATATCCTTCCCTCCCGATCCACAACATCAAAAACTCAGCGTACTCAACTGCGCTCGACGTTAACCATTCTTTCCCACATCAGCCGGTATCTCATGCCAAGTCTGGTCGAGTCTCGACTTGATCACCAGCATCGCATGCACGGCAAATTCAAAGCCAGATCACCCTCTTTGAGAGTGACGAGTCTCCAGGAGATGATTTTATGTTGCTTGTTGCTTGTAGAAGGATAAATGAATAAGCGAGTCACTTGTGTGTTCCATGGAAACAAACAAAAAAGTGGACAGGACCCGCTGGCGATATAGTGAAGCAACTCCCCAGAGAGGCTTGAACTCTCGACCTTCCGCTGTTAACACTTTAAAGCTCTATTACGCATAACAACCGGACGCTGTCACCAACTCAGCCATGGGGAGTTGTTAATGGGTGGACAACGCTCTCTTTGTCACTTCTAGGATACATCTCCTTCAGCGCTTTCGAGCAACTTGGATCCATAATAGCCTGATACCTCCCTCCAGATCCACCATACTAAAACTCAATGAAGGCAACCCCTTCTCCCCCCCATCGTTGAAGCGCTGATGGCAGTCCACTGCGATGCCACGCTCAACTTGGCCAGTGACCCCAGCAACAAGTGTGAAGTGGGTCAAGTGGTCCCACCTCGCAAAGTGTGCCCCGTCAAGACCGGAACACCCACTTCGAGAGCCATGATGTGTTTGAGAGGATGCGGACCGTTAGGGAAAGGAAAGAATTATATATCTATATATATGCTTACATGACATACCAGGCTACCAGCAGCGTCTACACCTACCAATTCTTAAACAATGCTATAAGTAATCTATTCGTTACTTGCTCAGTGTGTGATCCGCACAAGATCCACAAAAAAAAACAAAACCAAAAATAAAAGATTAAACCAAGCCAACAGAAGATCTTCGAAGCCGCCCCAGAGAGGTTCGAGCTCTCGACCTTCCCCTGTCAATGCTTTATTGCGCATAACAGTCGGACGCTGGAACGAACTCAGCCATGGGGCTATGCTTATATTAGTGGATAACGTTCTTTTTTCTCAGTTCCGGAACCTTACATCTCCTTTAACCTGAGGCTCAAACTATTGAACTATGAATCCCCTACACCCCACTTAATTCACAACACCGAAGACTTAACGTACTCAGCCGCGCCGAACCATTCTTCCCCACATCAGCCGACAACTCACACCAAGAGATCTCACACTCGACTTGAAAGGCTGATCCCCAGCAACGCGCGCCGCCGTGCACGTCAAAACTAGGTCACTCATGATGGAAGGGATGTTCAATGAGTCTACCGAAGCGAAGCTGAGGACCGTTGAAGGCGTTGTTGATCTGCAAGGGCCAGAATTGATATAGTCAATTTATTTAAAGCTCTAGTGATGTTCATGCCGGGGCATATGCGCTCTTCACTTATGCATGTTGCTTGCAGAAGGACAAACTAATGAACTTGCTCGTGCTAATAAAGAAAAAAATGAACATGTTGCATCAAATCATCACACCACTGCCCCAGAGAGACTCGAACTCTCAACCTTCCGCTGTGCTAGGAGCATATAACGGCATAACAGTCGGACGCTGTAACCAACTCAGCCGATGGGGCATTGTTCAGAGGGCTGGGCAACCCTCTTGTTCACGCTTCCAGGATTTCAAACAGATATAGTTAAACGGTAACTTAACCTAAGGCATAGACTGGTATCCAACGTCCACCCTCCCAATCCACCAAAACACAACTAAGAGTCCCTTCTCCCCCTCAGCCAACTCACATTCGACTTGACCCCCAGCAGCACACTCCCGACGGCGTGCCCAACACCAGATCACCCTCTTTATGAGCCATGATGCATGATGCATGATGTGTTCAATAACTCGGAGTGGATCTGGAGGCTGAAAGCAT